GGTTTGGTTTTTTCTTTCTAGTCCTTGATTTCATTTTTTCTTTCTTTTGGTCCATTTTTGTTGTTGGTATTCGATTATTATAGCACTTTTAAGTTTCCAGCGTTTCCATTTGACCTACTCCCTCTCTCTAATGTATCCTTCAATTGTCTCTTCCTCACACTCTAAGAGGAAGCAAACAAAACAGCCATCAAACATATCAACAGGCACCAGCAATCTCACAGTCTCTGCCAGTATCTAAATACATTGTCACCCATCTGCGTACATTGTCTTAACAGAAATAGTCTCCTGTACCCTCTCTGCACCAGCCCTTTTAGTTCAGCTAAACAGTAACTGCAACAGAGCCTGATTTCCTATTTTCTTTTTATATATTATCTCCTATCTTCTTCTATGCACATTTACCTATGTCCTCCCCTGAAGACTGGCTTTCTGTTTATCCACACCTCACACATCCCAATACAGGATAGTCTGCAAAGGGTATGGCAAAAGAGTAAAATTATCAAGTTTCAGAGTATATGATTGACGTATGTTTGATTCCATTGATATTGTTATAAGTAATAGAAACTCTCTCCTTATTGCATAGTGATAGGGTTCAATCTAGTTCAACTAAAAATCTTGTAAGGGGTAAACAACATCCCTATATAAATAGAGTCACAAATAGATCACTGGAAAACATATTTTAATGAAAGAAACTCTCCTATCTCCATGCTGTATTTGACTACAACACAGTACCAAGAAAAATTCCTAAAGCAGACTCAAGGAGAACCAGTGGAAAGGAAACACACAGAAAATAAAACATCTGTTTACAAAAATCATTATAGGAAACGTTCAAAGTATAAGGAAAGAGTTCAACACACACGAAACTGAGGCTTGTGGAACACCAGCTAACTACAAGGAAAACAAGAATCTCCCCACAACACATCTTAGTCAAACTTCTAGATGTCCAACAAAAAGGCAGAATGATAAAAGCAAAAATCATATATAAAGGTTAAATCATAAGGATAACAGAACATTTCTCAACACCAACATTAAAGACCAGGAGATCTTGGAGTGAAGTGCTTCAACCCATACAAACAACTTCCAACCTAGGCTATTAATTGACAGAGAAACACATGAGTATCAAGTCAGCTCTCCAAAAAATAGTCAGGAATATCCTAGACAAAAACAATGAAGCCAAGCATCAGAACAGAATGAATAGATCAGGAAAGGCAAGCGATTAAACAAAAAAGTAAAAATAACAACAAAAGAAAGAGAATATATTGACAGGCATAAATCAGTACCTTTCGGCAACAACTCTCAATGTAAATGACCTCAGATTACAAGTTAAAAGTCTGGAACAAAAAAAAAAAAAAACCACCCAGAATCAAACAGTCTATTGCACTCAAGAAACTCATCTAATCCTAAAAGAAAGTGATAGGCTAAAAAGTCACAGGATGGGAAATAGTACTTTGTGCACCACGACTCTGAAATCAAGGAGGGGCATCAGTACTGCTGCCAAAGTACGTTTTAATATAAAACAGATCAGAGGAAGCAAAAGATGTTACAGATTAGTTAAGGCAACACTCCAAAAGGAAGCGATAACAACTGTAAACACATATGCACCAAATACTGGAGCACCTAATTTCATAAAAGAGCACCACGCTAACACAATCATAGCAGCTGACCTCAGAACCCCACTTTCACAAAGAGACAGGTCAAAAGAACAAAAAAATCAACAAAGAAATATCAGAACCAAACCACGCCCTCAAACAAATGGACTTAATAGATACCTACAGTATTCTACACTACAAAGGATATGTGTTCTTTGCGGTACATAGAACTTTCTTCAAAATAGACCATGTACTAGCCCACAGTGCTAGCTTAAATAAAGAATAAAATCATCCCATGTATAGTATAAGTATCCCAGATCACTGAGCATTGAAACTAGAATCAGGTGAGCTGTTGGCCTGTGCTGGGCATGTCCCCTAGGCAAGCACACAGGAGCACATTAGACATAACCTCCCTCTCCCAGCACAAGCAGGCAGGCCTTCACCAGACTCACTGCAATCTGCCAAGATAAAGGTGCGACCATTCACCACTCCAAGATGGCTCTACATTTTGCTTCTCATTAGCATGAGGCTACAGAAGCAAGGGCTAATCAACAGACCTTATACTGGATGAGGACAACACCCATGGAGAAAGGAGCAACCACATCCCCAACTATTGATATTAAGACCAAAGTCCACACGAACCTCTACCCTGGTGCCTGCATCCAACAGAGACCTGAGGATTAATATTTGCCATCCACCAATGGGAGCAAGGACCCTCAATGGCTTGGATGGTAACCAGTCTGATGGGTAAACAGAGGGCCCCATAGTGAAGAAGGACACCTCACAAATTCATAAGCCCTAAAGTTAGGTGGAGAACATCGTGACTGGATGGACTCCAAGACTGCAGATACTTGAAAACCACTCACTCAAAAACACAGGGAGGGCTGGGGATAAGCTCAGTGGCACAGGGCCTGCCTGGCAAGTGTGAGATCATGAGTTCAGTCCCCAGTACCAAACAAAAAAACCACAGGAGATTTTCTTGGACTCAATCTTTATATTTTTTAAATTATTTCATATGTTTCATCGTGGGGGGTGGGATTCTCTCTCCCTTTTTCTCTTCTTGTAGTTTCTTTCCTCCTTTACCTTTTCCTTTTTCAACTTTTTTCTTTACTATTTTTATTTCCTGTATTTTAATATTCATCTTTCTTCTTGTTCTTGTTTATTGTCTCTTGTGACTGTTAATTTCCTTTTACTCAATATTATCCCTTATCTCACTTTTCTCTCCTCCTTAGCATATTTCATTGATGAATTACTCAAACTTTCCTTTTCCCATTCTCTGCCCACCACTTCCACCTTTACTAGTGTAACTACTAAGCTCTCTGTGTCTATCGACAGCTATTTAACTTCATGTAGTGTTCAACAGCATGCTGTTCAATACTGTCCTACTGTTAGCAGCGGAAAAGTTGTTCCATTTAGTAAGTATTGACTGTAGTTCAATAGTAAGTCAGTATTTGGGTTGTCTTAGTGTTGGTACTATAATTAAATTTTTAAAAAGGCCTGGGGCTGTATAGGAAGCAAATACAGAAAAATGTAAATAAGTAATGGAAATGGGTAAAGAGTATACAAGAGTTTTACTGCTCTTGCAATTTTTCTGTAGGTTTGATATATCAAAAATTAAAAATTGCCAAAGCACATACACATTATGATTATCTCTATTAATAAAGACATCAAAATTTCTCAGTTACAGGTTTTCTAAAAGCCAGGCCTAGAGCATGCATACTAGCCTCTGAAAACACACCTTTCCTGTGTTACCCCCCCCGTCCCACCAGTCACTAATTAATTGGCCTATTATCCTCTCAGGCCATACTGATGGACAGTGAACCAAGTGAATGAGCACTGGAGAAACATTTTAAGTTTCTTTGACACGGGTGTCACCCATCAAGATGACCCACTTTTATCCTGCTTGGGGACAAAGACCTTACACCCTTATACAGTACTATAATCCAAAACGTATGCTTATAATCCAAATGTATGCTTCTGTGGGAATCCACAGAAGAATGGCAAACAGCAGTGTTTGCATAGAACAAGGAGGCTTTACAGGCATCTGCTATAATTCAGACCTGGAATGTCGGCCAAGATCCCACATGTGAAAGGCTTAAGGTCATCTACAGACACACCAGACCTGTGCTTATCTAATCTGTTGGTGTTTCTTAATCCATACAAGTTGACAAGCCATGAATATGTCACACTTCCCTGATACAGGCGGTAATGTATTTACCAAAGAATGATTGTGATTAAGTTATGACTCACTCACCTTAACATAGTGGAGATATGTGGAAGTCAGTAGAATCTTTACCAGGTGACTCCCAAGAGCGGTCTTGAACATTGAGGCTGTGTCCTCAAAGGGGTCCTGGGATCTCAGTCTTTTCTCTTGCTCTCCTTCTAGCCATGAGAGTACTAAGCTCCACCTTGTTCTCCTGCCTTAAAGTGCTACCTCATTTGAGGCCACAACAGTCATGGTGGACAGGATCCCCCAAGAGCCCATTCAACTTCCAGACTGGTGAGTATTGTCTGAAGAGATTAGAGATCTCCAGAGGAGCAGAATCAATACATAATGTACTTATAGCCATGTAAGGGGACTTAGGTAGGTTTACAGGTTGTGTGCCAGAAAGCTGGAGGGTCCAGCAGACGCTCAGCCGAGACATGGAAGCCTCAGAGCAAGAGGCTGAGGTCTGGAAGCTCACTGTGGAGTCGGGATTGAGGGTCTGTGTAGGAAGGCAAAGAAACTAAAAACCAAAACCAAAGGCGATGGCAAAGATGGGCTCTTTCAAAACAGAAACCAGAGGTGGTAGAAGACAGAGATGACAATGTATTCACCAAAAAAGAGTAATTTTGATGAAGTTATGACTCACCTCAAGAGTGGAGATAAATAATGGAACCATTTAAGTTACAAACTCATCTGTGTGAATGTGAATATATTTATATATGCAAAGACACATAATATACATGGTAGGGACAAACACCAGTTCTGCCCACATCTGAGCTCAGGGACAAGCTTGGGATGACAACCTGCCTGTTGGGCTTCTGTGGTTGTACTGTGTTTCTCCTGCTGAGCATGACACAGCCCCAAAAGAAATCAGACAGTTTCTTATTGTGAACGTCTCTAAGAGACCGGTGTGCTGAAGGGTTGGTCGCCAGTCTACAGCACCATCAGGAAGTGCGGAGCCTTTTGGAGAGGAGCTGAGTTGAAGGAACTTGGATCACTGAGGATGTGCTCAGAGGGATGTTGAGTCACAGGTCTCTTCCTCTTTCTTGGCATCTGGGAGGTCAAGGTGAGCATTTTCCTCTGCATGCACTTTACCATGGCCACGGCTGAAATCTCAAAAACTGTGAGCTAAGGAAACCTTTCCTCCTTATATGCTGTGTGCCTTAGGTCTTTTGTTACAGTAACATGAAAGTAAACAACAGTCAAAATAAAGATGCTAGATAAAACAGGATTTTAATGGGGAAAACAGTATAAAAAGCAATAAACAGGAATCTATCTATGAAAGTGAAACTGAGCAAATAGGTGAGGGAAAAACATGTAGTGGAATGAACACAGTGACAACAGATTGCAGGGGCTGTGAGCCTGGGGTAAAGCTAGGAAGGGGGCTTAGGACTCCCTCTGCTGGGTCTAGGACTCAGCCTCAAAACTGGTGGGTCAAGGAGGTAGGAGGAGGAACAGCAAAGCAAAGGAGTTTTAGGACAGGAAACACTCCGCATGATGCAATGGCAGATGAGCCCATGGATTTGTCCCTGAATGTATGCCAAGAGCAACCTGCACTGTGGAAGATGGACTTGGGGTAGCCGGGATGTCAGCACAGGGTCACCATAGTAATGCGCCACTCAGAGAAAAAGCCCTGTGTGGAGCGAGGGATTCATGGGACACCCCTGGTCTTTCTTCCTGATTTTGCTCTGAAACCAAAGCCTTTTTAAAAAGACATTCCGAAGAGTCATGGAGAGACCTAGGATGTTCACAGCTGTGGAGGTGGACAGCTCTTCTCTCAGTGAGTCTTGCCCCTTGGTATCTGCTTTCTCAACCTGGCCCTGAGGGAACCCTCACCTGGGCCCTGCTTGTGTCCCTGGTCTCGTTTCTTTGAGGGGGACAGCTGTCTGCTTCGGTCTTTGCCACCCTGGTTATGTGTTCCTAGAGTACCCAGAAGGGACGCTTTCCACCCAGCGGCAGCCAGGGGATGCTCCTGAACCTCAGCCGATGGCTCTCTGCCTGAGCTTCCCACCTGACTTGGATAACAGCCTGAGACCTCCCGTCCCTGCCCCCGGACACCAGGTTGTCTATGTCCCAGGCCACCCCAGACCCTCAGCCGCCCCTGACTTAGAATGACCTGCCAGGAGTAACCCTGGGCTTCTGTGCTCCTGCCTGCTACTCTTCAGGCCTAGCAGGGCCCCTGCCTCCCTTTGTGCCCTGATGTCAGCAGAGTCCTTCCTGCTCAGTGTCACAGAATTACGCTCCTCCAGCCAGTGCGCAGGCCCTGCCATCTTTTTCTCAACAGACCGACCAAAGTGATAAATGCAAAAAGGATACTGACAGGGGCCTAAAGATTCCCAGGAGCAGTCCACACACCCTCAAGTAAAGGGAGTCTGAGGGGAAGATGGTGAAGACTCACATCAACTAGGAAGGGACCAACTCTGTTTTTGTTGTTGTTATTTGTTTTAAGATGGCTTTTCACTGTATTGCTCAGGCTGGTCTTGAACTCCCACATTCAAGCAATCCTCCTGCCTCAGCCTCCTGAGTAAGACAGACTGTACTCCACCAATGCGACACTGCATATAACTTGGAACAGACTCTTGATAATAGTGTTGGGACAGCCATTTGCCTCACACTGATGACATAAACCTGAATCCTTATCTTAGACTACAAAACTTCAGTTCAGATAATTTAAATTTTTAAAATCCTCTAAAATCAAAGGAAAAAAAGGATTTATATGGCCTTATAGTAAAAAAAGCTTCTTAAAGATATACATACACACATGACTAAAAATATTATATATGTATGTATGTATGTGTTGTGGCAAAAAATGTAGTGCCAAGATATGGAACCAAACAAGGTGCCCATCAACAGATTGATAACGAAAAGGTGGCGCTCGGTAAAGTAAGCCAGATTCTGAAAGATAAATCTCAGTTCTAATATGTGAAATTTAAAAAAGATGAGAGCAGAAGGGAGACTACTATTAGAAAAAAGGAAAGAAGGGAGAAGGGAGGGAACTTAAGGACAGGTAATGGAGTATGAACGTGATTCAAGGAGATTACACACTGATGCCCCCTCATATGAACCTGTGGGGAGAGACAGGGCAGTGGTGGAGAAAGGGTTAACTACAGTATGTTATGTGCATGTGCCAATGAATCTTGCTCATCTGTATAACCAATATGCACCAATAAAAATGTGGGGCAAACCAGCTCTGAAACATAAGCAACTGCTGGGTATAGTGTGCATGCCCACAATCCCAGCAGTCAAGAAGCCGAGGCAGGAGGACTGCTACAAGTTTGAGGCCAGCTTGGGCTCCATGTAAGTTCAAGGTCAGCCTGAACTACATAGCACAAGCCTGTCTTAAATAAAAAATTTTTAAAAACCCCACACATTCACACACCCATGTAACAACCTGGAAGATAAATGCAATAGAGAGAACAGTGAAATTATTTCTGCAACTCACTATTAGAAAGTCCAACCCAACAGAAAACCAGGCAGGGACTACATATAGCAAGAGAACTGGATTTACAGATCTACATAAGAAAACAATGCCCAGGCCCATTAGCAGTCACAGGAAAGCTTATTGAAACAACAAGATGCTTTTCAATCATCGGATTAGTGAACTTAGACAGCGTCCAGTGTCAGCAAAGACACAGAAGCAGAAATTCTGCATTCTTCCAGGGCTGAGCACCACACGGCCATGGGCGCCGAAAGGTGCACAGCCCGTGAGCCCACACAGGAGTGCTGCAGGACGGTTCCATGCCCCACTCTTTCCACGGGGGAACACTGAGGATACCCAGATGCCACTTACGGAGAACAGAAAACAAAATGTGCTACATTAATTCAACAGAAAATAGGGTTATAGCAGGTGGTGTCCTGACACAGAATAGATAAAAATAAAGCATACAGACAGTTTGATATTAATCGTGTATACTTTAAAGCACCAAAACAACAGAGCTGCCTTACAGATACTGGAGGAAAATGTGACAAATAGACGCAGACGTGCTCTCGTGATGTTTCTGAAAGGGCACTGTGAGGACTGGTAAAAGGGAATTTCACTTACAGCTCATTGTTTTCCTGTATTTAAAAAATTAGGTGGGAATCAAGTCAACTGTCTTTTTGGCTATTATTTCAAGTATTTATAGTGCATTTTCTCTGGTGCTCAAAGTCACACTTTTTTTTTTTTTGAGACAGGGTCTTGCTATGCAGTTCAGGCTGGCCATATGCTCACTTTGTAGCCCAGGCTGGTCTTGAATCTGCAACAAGCCTTCTGCCACAGCCTCCCAAGTGCTGGGATTACAGGCATGCACCATCATGCCCAGCACTCATGCCATTTTTAATACTGGCAGAAAAACTGATTGTGGTCATACTGAACACACTGTCAGTGGTGTAATATTGAATTCTAGGATTTAAATGACCTTTGAAGATCATTTAGGATTATGTTAGTGTTACTGACACACTTAGCATTAATTCTCTTTAATGCTGAGACTCACAGCATTCATTAGCATGGTGACTTAGGGCTGAACTACACATAAGACACTTTTCCTTTTAGGTAAGGACTTTTGAAGAACCAATGGTAGGTACAAAATTAGGTTGCTCAAAACCTCTTACTCTAGCGCCATCTAGTGGAAAGAGAAAACTTCACCTGTACCTTCCACACAGCCAGTTCGCAGGTGTCTCAGGGGCCTTTTCAACAAAGCTCTCTTTCATATGCTGAGTGTACTGTGCTGTGTATATTAACTACTTACTCTCGTTAGGGTCTTCTCAAACTGGAGTCTTCAGCTACCAATCAGATAAGAAAAAAGTTGATCATTTTCGTTATTCTTTTTCTTTTTTTTTTTTTTTTCTTGAGACAGGTCTCACTATGCAGTTCAGGTTGGCCTTCAGCTTACTTTGTAGCTCAAACTGGTCTCAAACTTACAATGATCTTCCTGCCTCAGCCTCCCAAGAGCTCGGATTACAGGCATGTGTCACCACACCCAGCTCCTTGCTCTTCATTCTCCTCATCAAACTTTGGGCTTTTTGTGTGTTTTGGTTTGTTTACTTTCCTGGCTTCCACTGACAGCTTTTCCAAGCAGCTTAACAAGCTGCTCAGCTACCTTCTGTAATGTGTTCTGATCACATGGTGGTCTAACTTCTCCCCCTCCACACCTTTCTGCATTCATAATGTCTACTCATCTGCACTTTGAGCCTTCCAGAATAAAGTATTCCATCAGCTGGTTTCTACATAAAATATTTAGTGTTCTTTTATCATTTTACTTTACATAAATTTATAAGGGGGAGAATATTTCCTTTAAAGGACGTTTTAAATATAGCACAATCACTACAAATATGCGGTATCAATTACAAGAAGCTCCTTTGAAGCATTGAGTGAGACGTGAAAAGCATACAGTATTTTACCAGCAGCCAATAAATACAAACTGAGCAATTAAAAAAATACATCAACATTTCAGAATGGGGAAAAACGCAGTAACAAGGTGATTAATCTCACTGCAACGCTGAGTTCCCCCATCCACTTACAATGCAGCCATGTGACCAGGTAGGATGGCAAAATTCCTCTGGAAAATGCCAACAGCACTTGCACAAATTAAATCAATGCAAAATGGCTTTCCACTGCTGTTTGGAAAAGAGGTTTATAAGCTGATTTTCCCTGTTTCCAAATAAAACAGCAGAGGACAGAACTGAAGCAAGCCGACGGCGCTCCCTGCAGACTTCAGATAGTTCAGATTCGGGCAAGGATGGAACTCAGCACCTTCAGTTGACTCCGTTCAAGTGATCCCGCAGGTTCATACAGACACAGTGGACCTCGGGTTCTCCTCCCTCTTCGAAGTCTATGATGAAGAGGCTGATCCCGGTGTTGGGGCTGACGGCTGTGAGTTCTGACCTGTTGAAAGTTGCTGGCAAGGAGCCCTTCAGCTCGGTTAGAAAATAGCTGAACAGGCTCCTCATGTAGGCACCATGGCTCACCACCAGGACGCTGGCTGCCAGCCCTGGACGGCTGCAGTCCACGCGGCACTCAGGACTGCAGTTCTTTCCTAAAGGAAATATCTCTGCCAAAGATGTTTCCAGATAGCTGGTTGGGACTTCTGGGGAAAGCTGTTCTTTCTGATCTGCTTCTTTTAGGATTAGTTGACAAAGAAATTCAAAGAAATCTTTTCCACGAATTTTTACCTGTAGGGAGAAAATAAAAAGGGAAACAAGGTAACATTATTGACTTCTTTAAAATATAAACACAGGGCCGGGGATTTAATGCAACAGCATAAGTGCCTGCCTGGCAAGGGCGAAGTCGTGAGCTTGATCCCAGTACCAAAAAAATAAATAGAATAAAATATAAACATAAAACATAAGTGACTGTTAAAATCTTTAAATTTACAAAAAAATCTAAATAACTAAAGACGCCTTGAGAAGAAAACAAAACCGAAAAACCAGGAAGTTAATACTACTTCAAAATACACTACAAAACGTCAGCAACTTCAAAATATACTACAAAACCATAGGAATCAAAACATTCTCGTATTGGAATAAAAATAGACTGGCAGAAAAGAACACAGAGCCAAACCATAAACCACGCACCTACAGCTAACTGACTTCCAGCACAAGTGCTAAGAACACATGCTAGGGAAAGCACAGTCCTTTCAATAAACGGTGCTCAGGAAAGAGTACCCACCTGCAGCAGAATGAAGCTCTGCCCCTGCCTCTCACCAGTTACAAAAATCAACTCAAAATGGACTGCAGGCTTCCATGCAAGACCTGAGACTATGAAACTACAAGCCAAACGTGTTAGGATTTTGGGACGGGCAAGGATTTTTTGCACAATATTCCAAAAGCCTAAGAAACATAAAGAAAAGTAGAATGGGACTGTATAAAACTGAAAAGTGTCCATGCAGCAAAGGAATAGACAAGTAAAGAGACAACCCACAGAATGAAGGAAACTACCTGCCAGCTACATATCTGACAAGGAGTCCGAACACGTAAGGAACTCCAGAAACCCAGCAGCACAAAAACAACCTGATTAAAACATGAGCAAGAGACCTAACTTCAGAAAGACATACGAACGGACAGCAGGTAGTCAACAAATGCTCAGTACCACCAGGCACCAGAAAAATGCAAATCCAGAGCACGAATGGTTATCAACTCAACCCCATCAAAGTGGCTACCATTAAAACATGACAAAAATAGGTGCTGGAAATGCCGTGGAGAAAAGGGTGGAGAGGAAGCTTTACACCTACTGCAGAAAACACTCCGGCGGTGCCTCAGAAAATTACCGGCATATGTGGAAAGGAACTGCAACTGGTGTGCTGAAGACAGGCAGTGCTGAGTACTCTTTGGAAGCAGCTATCCAATGACGAGAGGATAAAGGGACGTGGGGCATACTCTTGTGCCGTATTATTCAGCCATAAAGAAGATGAAATCCTGTCACTTGCAACAGTATGGATGGAACTGATAATGATTATGTTAACTAAAAACGTGTTGGACACAAAAAGCTAAGCAGAGCGTGATCCTATACGCTGAATCTAAAACTAGACTTTATGATCTCATTAAAGTTGAGAATAAAATGGTGGTTAGCAGCGGCAGGGGAGGGAGAAACGATGAAGGGCTGACCAGTGGGCACTGAGTTACAGTTGGACAGGAGCAAGCAGCCGGGTTCTGCTGTAAGCCGTGGAAGCCAGAGATAACGATTACGTACTACACATTTCAAAAGGCCTGAAGATCTCGAAAGTTTCCCTCATGAGGAAATGATAAACATTTGAGGAGAGAGAGGATGATGTGCTTAACCAGACTTCCACATTCCATGGCAGAAGATGGTATCCATTACTCTCCACAATTTTTGTTTTCATGCATTAAAAACAAATTTAAATTAAACAATCTACATAACTGACTGCATGTTTTCCCAATATGTAAACATAAATGCTATGTAAGCTGATGAATCCCAGCCTATACTTCTGGTCACACTAGTGCAGGTGCCTCCCCCTGCCATTTCTGCAAGCACAAAATGAGTAAAGACTTAATTCCCAATTCCTGACTTCAGAGGACAGGAAGTCAGGGAAACCTACAGGAAGGAGGAAGCTGAAAAACGGTGCTCACTGGGGAACTGTGTGGCGCTCGAGTGTGGCTGCAACTCCAAACCTTATGGCAAAGCCTTACTGCGGCAGTAAGTCCTTACCAGAAAATTATAAAATAAAACAGAGGAAACAACAGCCAACGATGATTCAAAGCTGGAGAGTGGGAAGAAACTCAAGTATCAGCAAAGAGCTGACACGGTGACAGAAGCCGGACGAGCTCACGCTCTGAATGGTGCAGCCCCAGAGCAGAGCGAGCACCCGGGCTCCTGCACACCCCACATCTGCTTTCTGACCATGACTGCCCTGCCCAGGCCACCACTTCACAAATTCAACTGTTCTTCAATCACATTTCCTTTAATTCGTCACCAGTGATAACTGCCCATACAACAGTGTATGAGAAACACGGGAGAACTGAAAAAGAATAACAGAAACGATGCCATACAGAGCAGTTTTATGAATCAAGCAATTTCCAAACTGCTTGGCTGTGACTCCCAAACATCTGACTGCAAGTGAGTCCAACTCCAGGCAACTAACACTGGCAAGCTCACTGGGGTGGCCACAGGGCCAGACTCATACCTGGTCGAGGGTCTCTCCTCCGGGAGGCGTGAACACTGGGCACTCCATCCCCGCATCCTTGGCCATGGCCCGCAGCTCGCTCAGCGCTTTGCCTTCAGCAACCCCGTACTTCTGCAACACCCAACAGATCAATGCGCCTCACGTGAGTTTGCAGTGTAACAATTAAGCTTAGGTTTATGGCACATCAGGAAAACAATCCCAGGACTAAGCTTAGTGTCCTTCACTTATTTTATTATTTTGTGTACTCAGCAGCGCCATAAACCCCTAGAAAATGCAGAGGCAGTCTTAAGCTGTATACTCTCCATGTGGGCCATATGGACAAACACATTGAACTCACTTAAGCAGACAGTGGAGTTTCCTGGATAAATGCAGGGCTTTGCACATCTGAGAGTAGAGACTATCATGTGGAAGGAACCAGGGTGGCCACATGAGTTTGCAGTATAACAATAAAGCTTATGTTTATAGCAAATCAAGAAAATATCCCAGGAAAATAACCCACACATAATACCCCACTCAACCCCAGTAACAGCAGTGTGAAGGGTACAACACACACCTACCTCTCAGCGAAGAGGTTTTGGAAAGGTTAAGCAACCACCCTTCATCCTCACAGCCAATCATCAGCAAAGCTAAAATTCAACCCCAGATCTATGTACTTTCAAGACTTGCATGCTTTCTAGGTTCACTAACACTGAGCTGGAGCAAAGGACAAACAAGTCACATAAGAAATACAAACAGCCAAGAATGCAAGAAACTGCCTCACTGAAGATCAATAAGGAGAAGCTGGTGGCACTATTCTTAAGCTATTAAACTGGGAAGTGAAAAGAGACTGGTACTACACCAACTTTCTCCTGGAGCACAGGAGGCAACTGAGCAATGGCTGTAGAAGCCTTACAGGAAAGCATAGAGTGGCCTCGTCCATTTCTGGAAATGTGTTAGACAGGTATGCACAGAATGAACAGGAAATCTAGTCATAATCTAGCTGTCCATCAGTAGTAGCCTGGGTTATAAAAACTGCAACAGCCACACACTGGAGTGATAGTCAGGGCACAATAAATGGGAATTGGTTTACAAGCAATGTGTAGAATTCCATTTAGAAAAGGGTATACAGAGACAGACGTGGAAAAAGTCAGGAACACACATGCCACAGTGTTCACGGTGTTTATCTGGAGGGGCTGGAAATTTTAACTGTATTTTTTGCAAACTCTTCTCATTTCTAATTTTTCTATAATGATAATGCAATACTGCATAGTAAGGTATTGAAAGAAACAAACTGCCATTTCTGTTTTAAAGGGATGATGCCAGTATCCTCACACCATCATCAGACAAGAGTCCAGTGATGAAATACTACTTTATGAAGGATAACGCACATTCTCGCCATCCCCACGTCTCGCCATCCCCATGTCAGGACTTCCACATCTTTAGCTATATGTGCATTTGCTTTGATTTCACAGGAATGGACACTTTTTAAAGAAAAATATCCCGAGTGCTACCCTGAAGCATACTGGACGACAAGACTGCAGTGCGACAGAGACTCCCACAGTGACACCCACACATCAGTACAGCATGGCTGCCAACCAGAGCACCAGCAAGAGGGGCCGGATGGAGGGACACAGACACGCGTGGAGCCAGGAAAGCCAGAGCCACGAAAGCCAGAGCCTAACGGTGAGCAGCAGCTGGCCAGGTCGAGGGAGCAGGGGCTCCAAGCAGGGCTGACACAGACTCAGAAGTCCAAGGAGGGAAGAGCCAGAGCACGCAGGTAACAAGAGCAGCTCCTGAGGGGCCTGTGACCAGGCGGCCGTGAGATCCTGGACATGGACTTGACCTGGGTGCGGTGGTTTCTGTTGAACGCCAATCAAAACAAGGGTTTTCAGGCTGCCCCGCAGCGGGGTGCTGTGAAGGTAAGCAGACTTGAAGTGCCTGGAAGTGTGCCAGCCTGTGCCAAGGCCCGCGCCAGCATTCGCTCATATAGTCACAAAGGCTAGAATGCCGGAAAGGGGAACAGCCCAGGGAGGTGACAGATAGGTCCCCACAGCACCTGGGGGGCCAAGTGAAAGAGTGTGAACAAACTCCTGAAGATTTTATTGGTTCTTTTTGAACCAATAAAAAGGGCAATGTGAGCTGTTTTGTACAAGGGTATCACAACCTTGTGTGCAAAAAATTACCCTGGCTGTGGTTAGAGATTAGGTTGGAAAAGAAAGTCATAGTCGGTACTGAACACAGTGGCACACACTTGTAACCTAATACTCAGGAGGCCAAGGCTGGAGGATCACTGTCTGCCTGTGCCACATAGTGAATTCAAGGCCAGCTTGAACTGCAGTGAGATCCCAGCTCAAAAAACCAAAAAACAAAAGTCACCATCAGTGACTAAGGTGACAGATGACACCTTAAACATAATGGCAGCCCAGGCAGAGACATGAGCAGCTTAGAATCATGTAGCGAGTGCAGTGACATGTACCTACAATCCTCATTATTTGAGAGGCTGAGGCAGGAGGCTTGCAAATTCAAGCCCAGTCTGGGAACTCAGCAAGCCCATTTCACAGTTAAATAACAAGGCCTGGAGGTGCAGCTCAGTAACAGAGCACTTGCCTAGCATGCATGAAGCCTGAGCTTCTATCCACAGCACCAAAAACAAACAAAAACTACCGTGTCACAATGACAAGCACATACACACAATTCACTAGATACAGGTGGTGACAGACTGCACAGTATGAGACATAAAAAAGGAAAAATGAAAAGGTTTGCAGAGTGGGTAAGGCAGGAGCAGGCTAGCGTAAAGGTAACACACCCTACTGGGCTAGAAATGGCTGTGGGGAATCCAGATCAAGATCAAAAGTGGGCAATCTGATTCATGACCTTGCAGGTCAGGTAAGAGATCTCAACTCAAAGTAGATTAAAAATCATTAAGCCATCAGCTGAGATCAGGACAACTCTGTGAGCCCCACTGATAATGCCCCCTCCTGCTGCCCAGCGGGGCATCTCACAGGGTCTGAGGACTGGGTCTGGGAAGAGGGAGCCCTCCCTTTTATGAGAACTTATTTCTGCTGGGGCTCTAGTCTGTATTTTGAACAGTAACAGAGAACACAGGGCAAGTTAGAGGAAGCAAGTCTTTAGAAATGCTCTACCTGTTTGTTAGATTTCTATCCAGGTAGAGAAGAAACTCACAGAGCTGGTGGGGAGAGGTAAACAAGCTTATGGGTCACCACTCTGCAAAGAAACCTGGGTTCAGATCTCAGGTTGGAATATGCTCTACGGTTTTGGGTAAGTCACAAGTTCAGGAAGATTCATTTTGTGCATATAAAATGGGAGTAAGAAAAATTGAATCATGCTGAGGAGTAAGATTAAGAGGTGAGAACTTTTTGTTTTTACTTGAAACATCTTTTATAATTTAAGATGCTTATCTCATCATCTCATATGATTTTAATAATTAAGTAAAGTTCTGGGTATGAAATTATATAACAGTACCTGTCATCCTGCAGAGTCTAAAACCTTCCAACTCCCCAATAGGACAGCATTTGAACTGCTAGCCAGTGATAAGCTAAGGTGGCTTACTGAAAATTTATGGTGAAGAACAGTATATAAATAAGTTACCCTTTCGCGAAGTCTTGAATCATATTTCACTGTCATGTCCTTGCAAAATTTGCTTTTCTCCAAAATCCCATGGATGGTCTGAAAAATCAAAAGTTCTTCCTCTTATTTAAAAAAAAAGTCACCATGAAACTTCAAAATAATACGTGCTATCCTAGTTAATAACAAAGAACTGGCAATATTTTCCCATGCAGTGGCCACTGTCAGGCTAAGGGGTACAGCTCAGCCGCAGAGCCCTGTTAGCCTACACAAGGCCCTGGCTGGACCCTCGCACCAAGGAACTGAAACAAAACACTGGGCCAAGTAGCACACACCTGTAACCCCAGGTACTTGGGGCTGAGGCAGTAAGATCACAAATTCACAAATTCAAGTCCAGCCTGGGCAACTTAGCAAGATCGTATCTCAAAATAAAAAATGAAAAGGGCTGGAAATGTAGCTCCGTGTAGATTGTCAATGGGCTCTGTCTTTAGTGCTGGGCAGGAAAAGACTGCCACACCATGCCATTTCCAGGTCACCATCTTATTCTGGTCTGTACACTAGCAATCACTGAAGCTTTGTGTAATCTATACCTTAGTATCTTCACTGAGGTTTTCATTTAACTTATTCCTCATTTTTAATAGATTTTGTTGATACACCTATTTTAAATCTATTCCCTTAAGTTTTGATAAATGTGTACACTCACTCACCTAAGTACCATAGAAATCAAGAGAAGAACCCTTTACCCTTGGAAAGATTCCTTCATCCCCAAGCCAGCAAATCCTTCTCATCCCAAGCAGCCACTAATCTGCTTTCAAAAGCCGTAGGTCAGACTCTTCCAGTTTCATAGGTGGACTCATGAGCTAGGTACTGTTTTGTGTCTGGATCCTGTGGCCTGGCTAACGTTTCTGAGCCTGCGCCTTGCTGATGAGCGGATCAGTAATCAGCTCTCTGGCTGAGCACAAATACACTGGTTCCTGCGCCGCTGGCTCACCTGCTTGGCACAACACACCTGCTGTTTCTGTTCTGCGACTGTTATAAACGATACTGCTATTAGACAACTGTGTCCAAATCTCAGTGGGGACATTCCTAATCCTGTGTGCTCCTGATTCCACTACGTAAATTTCTGAAATTGCTGGGTAATACAATAATTGCAAGTTAAATTGTGGAAGTATTTTCCAAAGTAGCTGCTACCCTCTGCAGTGTACAGCTTCCAGCTGCTTCACAAGCGTTTCTCTCTTGAATCATTTAAGTGTGTGTGTAGCAGCGTCACACTGTAATTTCAATTTGCATTTCTGTGGTGAGTAAAGATACTGAGCATCTTTTCGCCTGCTTACTGACCTCCCACATATACTTTTACGAAGTACTTGGGCAAATTCACACGCCTCGTCAGATGTATACGCACATCCATATGTATAGCATATGTACTATATGTACACAACATACGTTTTTCCATCCCAATCTCTGGCTTGCCTTTCCATTTTCTTAATAGCATCTTTCACAGAATAAAATCCTTCATTTGGATATAGTCAATTCTGAGTCAGTTTCTGGGTCTGGAGCAAGCTACGGGTCCCACACAGCTCATGTCTCCCTGTGGCTATCCCACCGCAGTCTCCGCTCTCAGGACCCAGGTCTCTTAGCACTTGTGTCAAAGCCCAGCTTGTGCGATAGAGTGTTTGCCTAGCACAGGTTAGGCCCTGGGTTCCTTCCCAATTCTGCAAAAAGGTAAAAACAAAACCAAACTAAAAGCCCACTGACCAAAAACAGAAAACAAACAAACAAACAAAAAAAAAAAAACAAAGACAATACAATAGTGTCCAGCCTCGGGATGGGTCTGTATCTGGTCTCTTCACTTTAATGTGAAAGAAAAAAACGTTTTTACTTTGCCTTTTTTAAAAGAATACTTTTTGCATACAGATTTGCAAATTTCTTTCTTTCCTTCTTTTCTTTCTCTCTCTCTTTTTTCTTGGAGACAGGGCCTTACTAGGCAGTCCAAACCTGCACTGAACTCACTATGTAGCCCAGACTGGTCTCAAACTCACAGCAATCCTCCTGCCTCAGCCTCCCAAGTGCTGGGATTACAGGTGTGCACCATGTCTGGCCTGTCCAAAGTATTATTTTTCAATTGCTATTAGTATTTAATATGCTCAGTTAAGAAAATGTAGAGGGGGCCAGGGAGTTAGCTCAGCAGCACAGGCACCTGCCTGGCAAGTGTGAGGTTGTGAGTTCAATCCCTAGTACCAAAAACAGAAAAAGAAAATTTAGTAAGCAAAAGAAGTAGGGAAAGATAACTTACCACACCAATGTATTCACTGTTAACATCTGACTTAATTTCCAGTTTCTCTTTTTCTTTATATAATAATTTCTTCTGCAATCAGGCCAAGTGCAGCTTGTATTGTATGTGCATCCAGAATACACTATTTAAAATCTTCATTTTCACTCTATACCTCCACATTGCCACCTCCTTTTGGGACTCCAAGTACGTGTACGTTACATTAAGTGGTATCAGCCCACATTCCGTCAGAATTGTTTCTCCCCCATAGTTAATTCCGGAAAGTTCTATTCCATCTTCATGTTCACTGGTCTCTCCTACAGTGCCTGGCCTGCTGTTTACCCTCTCTTGTGAAATTCCCATCTCAGAATATTAGATTTTTAAAAATCTCTACATCAATTTGATTCCTTTAAAACAACTTTCTTATGTCTTCTATTTCTCACTGTATGAGACCCAGTGGAGCTGACCTAGCCAGTGGCCAAGTAAAGTATGTTCCTGCATCTCTGCAGAATGTTCTGCATGCAGCAAGGTCCTCCACTCCAGCTGGAGGAGCTCTAGGACTCCGCCCCCCTCTCCTCCCAGGAGCTCCACAGCCAGCTGGTTCTGCTGGTCCCATGGTTCTACCCTGAGTGTGCAGATGTCTGTCCCCAAGTCTAATGATGCTCATGTACCCAAATTTTATGCTTTTCCTCAGCTCATCGGGCCCCCACAGCCCTGGAGCCTCTTCAGACATCCCGGGTGGCCGAGTCCAAAGGGCAATGTCTGTTACTATGTTTTCCAGGTATTTCTGTAGGAGGCAAAATTCCAGCCCCACTGCTCCTCATCCTCAGCCACCAGTCTCCTTTTTCTGACTTAGCAATAGCTGATTTGGTTAATTTTTAAATCTAACACTAATCTGTTTCCTAAAAATATTTGTCATTTTTTGTTTGTTTGTTTATTATGTCTTTAGAGTATTATAATGGATTTTGTTCTTTAAGACAGAGTCCTGCCCAGGCTAGCCTTGAATTCACAGCCACTCCCTGCCTCAGCCTCCTGAATGCCATGGTCATTACAGGCGTCCTGCTGTTGGTGGATTCTGATGGTGTCTGGTGATTCTGCTTTGCAGGTTCACATGTCTGTTGTACCTGCTGTCTCTCTCTTGACACCTGCCTACATTTATGTTTATATTCTTATATTTTTTTTTAAGCTACTATAATTTAAACAATACCCTAGAAAAGTACAACAATGAGAAATGCAACCAGTTCTTTTAGGGGTGGGGAGTAGGGAGAGGACGGAGTGGTGCCTGTGCGCTCTCCTCCTCTGTGGTTCCTAGAGTGGATCTCTCAGGTCACACGGAGCTGAGGCTTCCGCCCCACAGCCTAGACCTGGGCACGGAGCTCACCTGCCTCGTCCTGGTGAGGTCGCTGGAAAATGCGTGCGTGAACAGCACATTTTTCAGAAAACTCCCGGCAGCAGTGGCCTGTCTGAACCCAGTCTCGGAAAGCGGCTCGTCCACACCTTGTCCTGTGGCGAAACACAATGACGTTCAGAATAGTGCCCTGGGCTGCCAGCTGATCACCACTGGCACAGAAAGGTGCCATCCTCACCATGAGGCAAGGTTTTCCAGAGCGCTTTTCCACCTAACTTTTGGGAAAGCTAAGTGCTGTGAAGTTAAGCTGTAATTCTGCAGAAGCTCATACATTCAAACACTTTCCCAAAAGCTATTTGTCTGCAGGAATTAGGAGAGGAAAATTCATGCACCAAGCTTCTCTCTGGTTTGCCCACTTCCTCCTCAGCTGTGTTTGACGAATGCTGGCCCTGGGTCAGGGCTAAGATCATTACCGAAAGCTTCTCCCTCCCCGCTGTCCAGATGCTGGTATGTATATTACTTCTCTTCTTCCTTCCCTTCCTCCCTCCTCTTTCCTTTTCATTTAAAAATCCTGTCAAACCTCTACTTAGAGGAGCAAAGTTGATTAGACACTCTGAGGAAACTGATGGTAGGGACAGCAAATCCCGACAGTGGAGAGATTTTGAAAGACAGCAGTCTGACACTAAGTGCGACAGCTGCACGCGACGACAGTGCTCCCAGAGAAAAGTCTCAGAAAGCTCCCAGGGGGTGGACAGATCACAGCTACACCGACATTTCTGCCAGTGTCAGACATTTCCTGTTCATTTAATCTTCTGATTTATATAAAGATTTTATTGTACTTGGAAAATGGGAAGTGTTAGGACCCCAGTGCCTTACCAGTTCCGAGGAAGCCCATCTTCACTTATTTACTATAAAGTAAATGGCCTGGTGGCTACAGAATTTCCCTCAGTGACTGACAGTGAACCAAGAAAAATAAAGTAATAGAATTCTCCAGTGTGGCTTTCCTGCTGTCAAGTCAAATTCTAGTTGATATCTTTTATTGCATTAGTTAATTGTGAGGTGGAAAAAGCCAACATTATACTTGAATGGACTGCATAACTGTTCCTTTTGGGGTGTGGTTTTTAGCACAAGTATACTACACACTATTCACGAGGAACCAGTAGATTTCATCAGAACGGTAGTGTGAATTCCTTTGAGGGTGCTAACTGTAGACGGAAGTCTGCTATAAAGCTATTTCTCAAATTCTGGTCAAACAATTGAACTACATGGAGAGACAGTTGAACATAAAACAGCGAGCGTGAATATTCATTCAGAATGTTTGTTTAGATCCTGAAAGTACCAAAACTAGGTCTGTCATTTCTCATTGCACAGTTCCAACACTGAAAAACTTCTAATTATTTGATTTTAATTTATATAACTTGAAGCCCTAAAACAATGGCTATCAGTACTGTAATATGGAAACATTAGAATGTTTTATAAAATCAACTTTAAATGACAATGATGAAACAAAGCTAAATGCTATGGACTAAAAGAAAAAAGCAGTTACAGAAAAAGAATGATCACCTATCATGGAACACCATTTGACTGACAACGGACTTCCTAACAGTTCAAATAAAAGAAAAAAAAAAAAAAAAAAGAATAAACTGGGAAACGTGGCGAGGGTGGTTCATGCCTATAATCCCAGCACACATGAGGCTGAGGCAGGAGGATCATCATGTGTTCAGGCCCAGAGTGTACTACACAGTAAGTTCTAGGCCAGCCTAAAGTATTTATTATTGAGACCCTATGTCAACAAACTAAAAAATGTCTTCAATCCAGAACTGTGACACTGAGTGAGCTCATCTTTGCTGTCAGTCAGTCCATGCACACAAAGGACCTTTCAAAGAATACACTTCTGGAAAAAAAAGTTCGAGATGCAAAAATAAATAAAGTGCAAAAAATCTGGTAAATGTGCGTGCAAATCCAAACAAACTGTCCAAATAACAAATGAAAACATCGAGAAAAAATGTGACTAAAATACTAGGCAATACAAACGTTAAGTCCCCTGTCTTTTCAGGAGTGGGCTACAGACATTTATTAGGTGTTGTGAGAGAAAATGCTGCTCTCCGTTCACTGAAATTCCGACCTCACCATGATGGCAGTGCCGTGTGATGGTCTTCAAGAGAAAAGATGCCTCTTGCTCTGTGCTTTCACCTGGGAAGACACACGAGGTGGCAGCCTGCACAGGGCAGCCCTCGGGGCCAGGGGCACCTAGCCTCAGACTGTAACCTCCATGGCTGTGAGCACTTCACTGTGCCCAAGCCAACCCGTCTACAGTGTGGAGGATTCACAGCATCCCAAACTGACCAAAGCACAAGCAAATACATAAAGGAAGCCATGGGCAAGCAGAAACAGGGTAGCATTTCAAAACCAGTAAGGAAGGTGAGAGAGGATTAAAGAAAGAAAGAAAGAAAGAGGGCTGGGGATATAGCTCAGCAGCACGTGCACCTGCCTGGCAAGCACAGCGTCCTGACTGATTCCTGATACTCTCCCCCCACCAAAAAAAAAAAAAAAAAGAAGAAGAAGAAGAAAGAAAAAAGTAAACACAAGAAATAAAAGCAAGCCAGGCATGGTGGTAGCATATGCCCATAAGCCCAGCAATCGGGAGGCTGAAGCAGGAAGATAACAAGTTCAAGGCCAGCCTGGACTATACAGTGAGACCTTGTCTCAAAAGGACAGGACAGGACAGGACAGGACAGGACAGGACAGGAAAGAAAAGAAAAGAAAAGAAAAGAAAAGAAAAGAAAAGAAAAGAAAAGAAATAAAGACATGACTGAGGATATAGCTCAGTGGCACAAGAACCTGCCTGGCAAGGGCTAGGTCCTGAGTTCGATATCCACTACAAAAAAAAAAAAAAATCAAAGAAATAAAGGCATGTAAGAATAGAAGGAGGCTAAAAAGAATGGGGAAGAGGATGAAAAAGTCCACTAACCAGAATAAAGGTCAATGCCTGCTACAAAACTGTATTGGGGAAACAAAACAAAACAAAACTAAGCATCCAACTTCCAAAGTCAGAAAATGACTTAAAAATGAATGGGGGGCAACCCATTTGAGACCCTTCCTGTCTCTCAGGAGCTAACCCCATTTCCCATACTTAATCTCCAATAAATTTCCCTACTCTTAAAAAAAAAAATGAATATGAACGCAGAAACATGTATTCACATTCAATGGTCAGCCTCTAATGAAATAAGACAAACACTGAAAGATGCAGCAGGCAGAGACCCGAATGCAAAGAGTAGCTTGGTGGCTGCGTGTGACTGAAAGCAAAGACCCACGGAAGCATCAGGCCAGATCAGCTCAGAAACCATACCCCCAAAATAAAACTAAACACTTTCCTAATCACAGCATAAAAATAGCACATCCAGCTGAAAGTTCACCCAAGGTGTTCTTAAAAAGCCAGGCCAGCCAGCAAAAGGTCCGAGTGCACATCGGCAGAGCAAGGCGGGAAGAATCGGTGTGCAGCTGGTGCGTGAGCACTCCCTCTCTTTAACCTCTCCTCTGTTGCCACTAAAATTAAACAATTATCTTAACAGAAAAAAAAGCTACTAACAATATCCAGTAAGCTTTTTTATAATTATGAAATCATTTTAAATCTAGACTGTCATAATTTAAGACACTAGGACCAGAAAAGCTCTTGAATCCGCTGACCCAGCTACTTTGAGACCAGGCATAAAGAATAAGCTGGAGAACTGTTTTTTCAATCGAGCTCCATTCAGAGATGTTTTCCTCTCCATTATAACTGCTCTCATCCCAGCCCACACTTAACATGATACTGTAATTCTGCAGGCTCAGTACAGTTCAATCCCAATACCATGCAGTCCCCAGTCCACCCCACCAAACCTGCTAAACTCACCAGCACATTACACTAGGGTAGACAGCTAAAGTAGCATGGGGTTATACTAACCTTGAAGTATTTTCTCCTTGTTAAGTCTTGTTTCTCCACTAAAATAAAGAGGGGAAAAAACTTATTATGATATTATGTTACTTTAGAGAGAAGAAAAAAAAATCAGCAATGAAGTTATGAACCTTGTAACATACTTCACAATCTAACCTATAAAAATACAATTTACTCTGAACTAATACTTCAATCATCTGTTCTAATGATGAACTCAAAATTTCAAACTGACCCAAAATGCCAAGAATATAGCTCAGTGGCACAAGCGCCTGCCTGGTAAGCACAAGGTCCTGGGTTCAATTCCTGGTACAAAAAAAAAAAAAAAAAAAAAAACCTGCCCCCAAATAAAACATAAATACATAGATTAGGAATCAGTCTTAAAAGAAATGCAAGAGGAAAATGCTATTAACAGTATGTATGTGTGTGTATCACATTATTTTTGTTAGTCATGTTAAAATAAACATTGATCAAAACTAGGCAGGACCAAAATATGAAAGTTGGAAAATAAACTGAGTAAGCAAGGGAAAGACCGTCAGGACACAACGGGAGAGAATCCAGCCCTCACAAAGCCCACCCTCTACCAGGCTCTACACGAGTGATGGTGAACCTTTTAGAGAATAAGTACCCAAACTGCAACCCAAAACCCGCTTTTGTTTACAAAGTGCCAACACGCAATTAAACCTGAATACTGAGGTTTTAGTTTAGAAAAAGCAACTGTTCTCTGACCCGGCTGCTGCGGCGACTTGGCTCACCTGCTGACACAGGAGCTCCCCGTATCCACTGAGGCATGCGTGCCACGGGTTCCCCACCACTGCCCTAGACCTTGGGGGGTCTGGTTACCTTTTACAGTACGGAGAGCTGCTCTGCAGACCACTGCACACAGAAATTAGACGTGGACACTGTCGTTTTTAGAAAATCCAAACAAACTCAAACATTCTTAAAGCAACCAAAAGGGTGAGAGGCCTGGAAATCCAATGGTAAGATAACTGAGTGGGCAAGGCAGGCTAGAGGGAGGTGGACCTACAGCAGAAGGAATCTCCAAGCACAGGAAGGGCTGAAAGGGTCTTGGTTAATGCCTGCTGACCCACGGAAAGGACGCCTGTCTAGTGCAGGCAAGCGCTAGACCGTACACAGCATGAAATACTCAACTTTACCAGATGAAGCTGAGCGGCTGCACACCGTCCACCCCTGCAGTGTGGCGTCCCATCCCCACCATGCTCGGTCTCTACAGTGTGCTCCCCACCTGCCAATCTGCTACCTGAACAGCTCCCTTCACTTTGACATGGATTTGCCATTTCCCTGGTCATGAAGGAGGATGACCGCGCCTTTGTTTTTAAGCACAGAGCGAGTTTAAAATCAGGCCTTAAAAGTCGGATTCACAAACTGGAATCTGCCTAGAACCCTGCCCCTTGCTGATACAGACAGCGGTTTGCCAGCCCCTGCAGACAGCTGTAATGATGAGCCTTTCAGAGCTTCCAGCGGTACCTACAGCCCTGAGCCCCGCAGAATCTCCCGGCGGGCTCATTAAACAGACAGAGCAGTGGCTAGGCTGCGCCTGTTCTGTGTCTGTGTGACCCCGCGCAACCCCGATGCTGTGCTCCCACCTTTCCAGGCGCTGCCAATCTAACTGATCATCTGTATGCTGACTTTTCTGTTGTGGCTCCAGTTCCTTCAAGCTCCTCCAAGGCACAGCCAGAGGAGGTTGTACCTCTGTAGGACCCCTGGTGCCTAGGGAACCTCCCAAGAAAGGCTCAGAGTTTCAGTGAGTGTCCTCTGCCTCGAGAGGGTCACCTATGATCATCCACATAAGGACAAATCCTTCACCCTTTTATCCCCCTCCTCTACTGGGAACATCTGTATTAACTCACATTTAAATGAATACTTGCCAGGGATTTCTTTTTTAAATTTTTTATTTGTACATGTTTGCAGTACATATTTACATTCGTTATTGAGAGTTGGTACATGTGCATACACAACTTAATTTCTACCTCTTAATTCTCTCCTTTTTTTCTTTGAGTTCAGACTGTTCTTGGATTCATTACGTAGCCCATGCTAGATCCAATTTACAGTCGTCCTCCTGCCTCAGCCTCCCAAGTGCTGGGATTACAGGGAGCCTGGCTCAATCCCCTTCCTACTTCAGGAAGATCTGTCTCCCTACTTCCTATTATCTATCTGTTATGTTGCTCTATCTATGCTTTGGACTTATCATATAAGAGAAACTATGAGATATTTAGGCTTGTGTGTCTGCTTTATGTCACATCATGGTCTCAACATGCATCCATTTTCCTAAAAATGATTCAAGCCTATCTTTTTTTTGTTAGAGTAGTACCCCACTGTGTGTAAGACATTCATTTTCCTAAAAATGACTCAAGTTTCTTTTTCTTGTTAAAGTAGTATTCCATTGTGTGTAAACAGCACATTTTTTATCCATTCATCTGATAGACATATAGGCTGTTTGCAAGATTTAGCTATTATGAATTGTGTTGCTATAAACACTGGAAAGAATGGTTCAGTGTTTCACTGTAGTAAGATGCCTTTAACTCTCTGTGGAATATACCTACAAGGGTGAATAGCTGATAGTGTAGTATTATTTCTAATAGCAAACCACCCAAGAGTTGGATAACAGGAACTGGTTAGAACAGCTACATTAAAAAAAATCATTATCTGCCAGGTATGGTCGCCCATACCTGTAACCTCAGCACTTGGGCAAGAAAGCTGAGGTAAGAGGATCACCATCAGACCCTGCCTCAAAACACAACAACAACCAAATCATTATCTACCAATAGAATACTATGTAGTTATGTCTTTTAAAAAGAGAAGCTGAAAAAAATTTAAAAATTTTAAATTTTAAAAATAAAAATAGAAACTATAGAATAGATCTGTGAAATTTATCAAGTTATATAATTAAGTAGAAAAGGCAAAGTGTAGAATATATAAAGAGAACACTACCTACTTAGAAAGGAGGGCAATAATAAATATTTGGATTTGCAAAAGAAACATTGGCAGAGTATGCATGAAAATAAGAAATATGATCACCTACAAGGATGTGAAGAACAGGGAAAATTGTTTTGGTTTTAACCCTGTGGCTGTATTACTCTGTGGCTAAATGCATTACAAATAAATGAACTATTATATACAAAACCATTTATACCAAGGCAAAAACCCAATTCACCCTGATTCACTGATTCACCACTGATCTACCTTGTTCTCACTGCTGTTAACATTAAAAGATTTCCAGAACCCTAAAACCAATTCAGAATCTGAAGAAATGAATGCAAAAAGAAGATATTAACATCTAATACTCAGAGGAATCACGGAATCCAGGACAAGGATGGGGAACCATCTTTTCTAAACTAGAAAAGGTTACCACATAATCAGATTCACTTCCTGTCTCAGCCTAATAACCTTGCTGAGATCAAAAATTAAAAAATTGCTATTGAAATATAAGTAACATCCTCTACAGACAGTAACTTTATAACCACTTCAATTTCCAACAAAAGCCAAAGAAGCATCCTCATTTTATACATTTCAAATCAAGAGTGAGGAGAAATTAAGTAATTTGCAACCCCCAAAATTTAAGAGCCACCAAAAGTCTTAAGTCTTTACAAATCACACAAATTCAGCAGACATGTTGACTTTCTGGATTTTGCTAAAAAGATTAGCTCAGGATTTTAATTTACTCTCAATAGCTGATTTGATGAAAGGCTCTGATTAAAAGTGTTACAGCATGAAAATGTCACTTTATCAAAAAATGGAATCCCGTTCATTTGACAGTTTTATAAAGGCATTGTTCCACCATCTAACAATGTTTCAACCAAAGGATAAAATAGCTGTGATGTAGTCAGGGATTTCTTTTAGCTATAAATCAATGGGCACTCCTGCAGATATAAAAGTATTATTAATAACGACCAGCACTTGCTTTTAACTTCTATTAGGTATTTTGTCTTCAAACCACTTTATAAATCTTGCAAAACAGGAACCCAAAAATAGATTTTTCCCCCAAAACTTTTATAAATATTTAGTCGTGCAGCTTTTATCAAGAGGCTTATACAAACCCTTGGAGAAAAATGTTTAAAATTAGTTTGGGAAGAGGAAAAGGCAAATAGCTAACATAGTGTTAATGTTAAATCTACGCGCTTTCATCAAAGTTTGGCTGTGAGAGCCACAGAGCAGGCAGGAGGCACTGAAAGGTCTGTGGATATATTTTGAAGGAGTCAGGAATAACCAATCACTTTCAAAATCTGCAGTGTGATCCATTTCCAAAACAGAACACTCAGCCCTGCAGGAATCCAAATGCTTGTGCCAAGAAGTCAAGTCTTATGACCTGCCATTTATAGGCCCTGCAAATATGCATCATTCATTCTGCACGTCATCACAGCGCTCTTCACTAAAGAGACAGATTATCTCACTAGTCCAGACGTACATTCCATGGCATTTCTTTAGAAATCAAATGAAAAACTCAATTTCCCTATTTTGACCGTTTAAGGACAAAATTCAACAGACAATGTTTTGCTACAATAAAGACAAACCATAGAAATCAGTACAGATTTGGGGCATGCTTTTAGGATTAACACATTTTAGTACACATGGAAATGTAAAATGTCTGATATTTTGTCATAAATACAGCTTAATCATTATTCCTTCACACCAATTAATTCATCTACAAATACACCAGATTTAAAAGCTAGTAACACAGATACTTTTACTAGATGGCCTGAGAGGAAAAAAGGTTGTAAGATATTCAATTTGTGATTTTTTTAAAATACAAAGACTAGCCAGGGATTTAGCTCAGCCAATCAAGAGCTTGCCTGGTAAGTGCATGGTGATGCATATTATCCCAAGTACCCAAAAAGTAATAATAATAAAATACAGAGATTAGTCCTGGTTGCAAACCCTCACCCAACTGATCATCCCACTACCCAGCAAACAATATTATAGTATGATAACAAGCATAGATCTTTATAAAAATAATTACAGATGATCAAATATAGTTTTGCTTCCTTTATGTCCAGATCAATGATTAGCATTCAACAAAAAGCAAGTAACTGCTGATTGAGGTAGAATAAGAAAATCAAATCAGTTTTGCTGTCAATAACTTTGCTAATTCATCATCTTTAAATCATTAAAAGTAAATTTAGTCTATAACTTTTTTTAAAGTTTTAAGAGCGGTTTAATGGACGTGAAATTTAATGGTTTTACAGGTGACTGACAATAAATGCTTATCAATAAAATTTCAAGCGATCAGGGCCTTCAGTGATGTTGCCACGGGATGCCAAATTACGAATGTTGGAGTTTTCAACAATGTTGTGCTGTCATGACAAATTTCAGTTTAATAATAATGATAGTTTTAAACTTCAGAATCGCAGGCATCCTGTTCCAAATGAACAGGCATTGGTACTTTCACTTCAAACCATGATAAAAGACAAAGACACATACAGTAAGAGCACAAAATTAAAAAATGATTTGGTTAGAATAAAAGAAAAGTGCTTCAAAATTTCTTTTAAAATTTTCTTGCATAGGGAGAGAAAACAAATTTTTCTTGCATTATCTGAAGAGGTAAAATTCAGTACAATTATCCAACTCTTCAGTAAGTCATTCTACTTAATTATGATGATCAGTCAAATCTGAAATCACTTCTCTTCCCAAAAGAATCACCAAGATAGGGTGTGGTGGTGCACATCTATAATCCTAGCCCTCAGGAGGCTGAGGCAGGAGGATCGCTGAGTTTTGAGTCCACCCTGGACTGCATAATGAAACCCTGTCTCAAAAAGACTAAAGAAAGAAGGACAGAAGAAGGGAAGGAAGCAAGGAAAGCAAGCAAGCATGAAAAAAATAACCAGGTTTTTGGCCCTTAGACTACCAGAAAGATGGAATGTCTCAGACTGTAAAGCAGGTAATCACAGTCATATCAATTATTTTAAAACATTCTCTTCATGTTCCTACAGAACAGAATCTCTTGGCATTCTCCATCAGTCTCAAAGATGGCTGGTGATAGTCAAGAAACGTACAGCTACAATAAAATAAAACAACAACAACAAAAAGAGACAGAAGATATGGATAACTGCTTTGGTTCTGATCCTGTTTCTCCAGCTTGGTAGGTGACCTTAAGCAACTTAGTTTCATCACTTGCAAATTGAGGCTGTCAGTCCTTACCACTGGACAGTTGTCAGATTTTGATTTTACCAGTGCCTGCCACATAATAATTTATTAACAGCTATTCTTAAAATGATTCCTAGGAGAGCCTCCAAAATCAAGCCCTTTTCCAGCAGCAGAGATAGAATAAAATCTACACTCATATAATCATTGTCTATTAAGAATCTGAACAGAGATTACCTTAATTTTCAAGACAGGAGTCTCAGTCCAGATTTCCCACAACTTGTAAGTTTTCAGTCATCTGTCTGATACTTTGCTGGCTGGATCCAAAAAGGGTTCTCATGTTTTAAAAAGGGCAATCAGGACTCTTACTTTCTGTTTTACTACCAAACTGTGTGACTTTCAATCAGTCAAGAATCTTCGCAAAGCAGTCTATAAAATAGGGGTGAGGGTGAAGTGATAGGAAGAGGGTGAATAGCTAGATTTCTGATCTAGCTATTAAAATCCTATAAATCCAAAAAGGTCAATTTGAGATAGTTCCCAACATTATCTTGCCACAGGAGCCATGCATGCCTGTAATACCAGCATTCTGGGCGGCTGAGGCAGTAGACTGACTGTTTCGACCTGGGCAATTTACAGACTGAGATCCTGTCTCAAAATTAAAAAAAAAAGTTTAAAGGCTGTGATACAGAATGCAGAGCCCTTGAGTTCAATTCCTACACTCATTTAAAAAAAAAAAAAAAAAAAAAAAAAAACAGACAAAAAAGTAGTTAAAGTAAGCTTGGCAAGGTTAAATCAGAATTTCTTGGCTGGCATGGTGGCATATGCCTGTAATTCCAGTAATCCCAGCATTTGAGAGGCTATGCAGGAGAATCGCTGCACGTTCAAGGCTAGCCTGGGCTACACGAGAGTTTAAGAATAGTTGAAACTATGTACAGCAAGACCTTGTCTAAAAAAATAAAATCAGAGTTCCTTGTGAACTCTAAGGCAAAAATGGTTATCTTCTATTTTTATCTCTTACAATGCTGGTCTGATAAACTACACCTATGTAGTGGTTGAGAACCAACAGCATTTTATTAGAGCTGTCCCTATAGAACTGTCTTAAAATACTTCTTAATGCCCTACTCTGTTTTTGGCCATATAATTCTCAGAGTAGCCCAGGGAAGTATCATTCCCCCACCACGCTGTGCATCAGGAAACCTGTTGGAAAGATTAGGTCCGTTCTCAGAGGCCCAGCCCTAGTGGCTCTTCTCTAAAGCCCAGATTCCCACTGCGTCCTTCTTACTTGAAAAACTTCTGCTCTCGCCCCACACTCAACTTCCCTTCCCTTTCACAGCTGAGAAAGGGAACTGGCAGGGATGTGGACACAGCTTTTGCTGCAGCAATCTTTTCTACTACAAGCACTCGGTGAGCCGAGAGGGGGCTGCGGCCCTCTTTCCTCTTTCAGCACTGTACTCTCTCCTCTGGAGGGCGAGGAAATAAATCTCACATGTGAGCCCTGACCCCGCACGGTTAGGTCAAGTAGACATTAAAGCCGGAGGACAGCGCCACGCAGCCGACAAGGAGTAACTCCTCAAATCTGGAGACCTGAGGGGGTGCTCAGTCTGGCGACACGCCTGGGCCTTTAATCCCGGATCCCCGGCGCCGTGCCCTCGCGTGGGACACCAGCCCGCCCGGTTCAGGTTGCTGGTGTCACATGAGGGTCGCGCGCACCACTCCGGGGAGCCACCCTTTGCCCCAATAAGAGCCAGAGAAGAACCTACGCCAGCAATACTCACTGCCGGACCACGGTGAGGGCGAAACGCGTCATCTCCGAGCAGCCGAGGGAGGACAGACGCTGCCGGTCCCGGGAATATCACCGGATGCCCCGCACTGCGGCCACCTTCCCCGCTCCACTTCCGCCACAGCAGCCGGCGGTGCAGCCATAGGACCAAACTGGCTTTTGCGTCATCCTCATCCGGCCAATCACAGCGGCAGATGGCCTGCAGGTTCAAGGAGATTGGAGAACGCCGAAGCCTTCCCCAGGTTTTAGCGCGTGCGCTCCTTCGCGTTGGCCTGTGATTGGTAATACGGTAGGCGCGCGGGGAAGCCCCACCCTCGGACTAGCTTTGTAACCCCGGCAAGGTGTAGCCTCTGCTAGAGTAGAGATAAGAGCAAGCTTGGGTGATTTGGCTTGAGATCGGATTGCAGCCGTAAGGGCGGCCTGATGTAATGAATGTATTCCACAAAGGCTGCAGAACCAGACAGGTTGCATCTTTTGTGTGTTATCTATTAATCTTTGACTTTGAGGGAAAAAGGTCCTCTCTGTTTGTAGACTTAGACCCAGACCCTTCAGGTTTCATTCCCAACTCCTCCTTCATCAAATTTTAGTCAGGCCACTTTTTAACCCCTTGTTGAGTAGACTTTATATCCCAGTTTTACCAGAGAATCCTGCTGAACCACTTAATGAAAAATTTCTTCGCCCCTGATATGCAATCAACTTCCTCTACACCTTACTTAGATATCAATTAGTAACTTTCCATCTTCCTTATCCTTTCTGCCCCAGCATATAAATTTAGGTTGGTTCTGTGGAGTTCAGAATTGAATTCATTTTCTTTATTGCAGTAGCCTTGACCCCTATTGCACTAATATATTAATAAAGTCGTCTTTGCCTTTTAAGATAACTATCAGGCGAAATTAACGGTTTTGGAAGGCCTTGAATAACTGAACCTCTGTAGCCCTCAGCCATGTGATAGGTAAACTAGAATCACACCAGCCATGAAACACATTAAACTCAATGTTATCTACAAGGTTGTGTTGTCTTCCGTGCCTGTTTACCTAAACTCTCATATTTAGTAAGTAACACATTTGTTTCAGCGGAGTCCCAATTACATTTGAGAACGCAGAGTTAAGGAAGTGATATTGAGAGATTCATAGGCACACATTTCACAGTTTCATTGTGTGTTGTCATTATGGGCCTTATAACAGTTCCAAGGTGGACATCAAAGGAAGGCTGCATTAATTTCACTTAAATAAAAAGTCTGACCTGTAGAGAAACCAAAGCACGAGTGAGCTCCCACAGTTGTCCTATGATGACACAAATAGTTAATTTTGAACAAACCAAGATTGTTGTCTCATTATAGGAGGAACAAAGTCACAAACCAAAAGGAGGAAATTAAGAGAGTTTTATTAGAAATAAGAAAAAAGGGTCCTGGTTTCTCCAGGAGAAGACTCTAAGAAGTCAGATTTTCCCATGGCCCTGAGTCTAGCACTTTTTATGGTTAAGTAAGCATGAGAATTGCTTAGTTGTTTAGTGGCCTCATTTTACAGGTGTCATTGTGAATTTAAAACAAACAACTGGAAGTCAGGTTCTCTAACCCAGTTATTTAATATGTAGATTTTAAAGGAAACTGGGATTTTAAACAAAAACTTGTTATTTTGCATATTATTCCTCAAAACTTAGTAACTTAATAAGGAGGGCTGCACTGCATGTTCCTGAGGGAGTTCATGCTTGGTTTTAAGTCCTATTTCTTTTTCTCGGTCTGTCCTTTTTATTATTATTATTTTAAAGAGGATAAAATAATAAAACCAATCAGAAGAAACCAGTGTAAACTTCAAAACATTACAAAATCAACAATAGTTACCATAATGCCTTTTGATGTCTTCAAAATAGCTACTGATAACTTCAGATATAGAGAAAATCAAACAGAACAGACTAGAATCAAAACAATAAAAACCAAATAATGAATGCAATAAAGAACTTCAAAATAAGCCTATAGTAAATGCAAAATTGCTACCATAATATTTCTTGTTATCTTTGAAATAGTTGCTCCTGCCATTGGATTTGACATTAATCAAACAAAACAAAAGAGAATGGAACCCAAACCAACAAACAAAGGAAACCATATAGGATTTCCAAAACAAGATCATAAGGAATCAGCAATGACTGCAACCTTCAGAAGATCTCCCTTAGATGTCACACTGTGTATCGCTATCATCCGAACCAATGATCAGACCAATGGCCCTAGACCTGCAATGTTAGTGAAACACCAAAGCACCACAGGTATCCAGTTACATTCACCTTCATAGCTATCATCACAGCCTGTGTTTCCCTGGATAATCTGGTCGGTTATGATAGGGTAGGGTGTGGGGAGTGTTGGTAATTTTTGTTTGCCAGCCTGAGAGCTGGAAGGGGCTGGGGTCGGTCTATTCCCAGTGTGGCAGCAGCCTGAACATGGTGCTGGTTTCCAGACAGGTTTACTTGTGAAATGTTCCTGCCCTAGTATAAGTTATTGTACAGTTATGGCAATGGTCTAACATGGAGGAAGGCCAAAGCAAGTTTGCTTACCCTGAGGCCACTACCTCCTTCCCCTTTGGCCCAAATTATCACTTTTTCTCCTGTTTGCTTACAAAGAAAATTCCAATCAGTGCCTGGCACATCATCAATGCCCACCCCATGTGCTACTTCTGATCAGAGGTCATATAACCCTCTGCCCCTCTGTATCTGGTCCGAAGGAGAAAGCCAAACCCCCACAGGCTGTGGGCTCCTCTCCTTTCCACATCCTCAAATAAATGGCCACTTTGACTTTTTCTTTCCTTCTACTTCACTATTGCCCCAGAAAACTAACAAACGTGCTGATTCAGCTTTGTTCTGCCTATCCCCAGGTCGGAGGTTGGTGCTGACTCATGGGGAGAGGCTGGGGTCTGTCTGTTTCAGGTTCAGCAGCCCACACATGTCTTGTCTTTATTTTAATTCTTATTCTTATGGATGATCACCTAACAGCTCACACCCTTCCCCTAGCTAACTGCCTTACTCATAACTCACTAAATAAACTATTTTCTACAGTGAGACTAGTTCACAGGTCCTCAATCCTATGTGCTCATCAGAATCATTTAAGGACCTTTTCAATGAATGCCAGGTTGAAAACTAACCCCAGCCCCTGAGCTAACTCTGAACCTTTTTCAGGGAAGGCCAGACATCAGTATTTTTTAAATCACCAGCTGCCTCCAGTCTTAAAAGTTAGCTGTTTAAAGCAGTGTTTCTCAGGCTTTAACAAGCATACGAATCACTTAGGGATTTTAGTAAAGTGCAGGTTCTAGGTTTAGTAGGTCTGGGATGGGGGCCAAATACAGCATTCTTAACAGCGCTTGGGTAAACAGGAGACACTTTCAGTATAAGGTTCAAGGGATAATTCAGAGGAAGTGGCGATCCAGATTTCCGTAGGGATAACACTGTCCATGCAGTCTCTGGGTGCTTGTGAAAAGTGCAGTTAATTCTGTGAGGGCTAAAACAGAAAGACAGCAGAGACAGAAACCACAAACAGAGCTAAGGCCATGAAGGAACATGGAAAGTAAAATTGTAAGAAATAGAAACCATAAAGAATACATTCTTGAGCACACTTTTAGAAGAAAGGTAGGAACAGCAATGGTGATGGAAGGACCATTGAGATGCAGAGAGACACAGACACAAGTAAGGCAAAGAGTCCCTGGGCGCCAGTCCTCTGAACTCCCACCATACTGGGTTTCTTCGAGGTGCTAGTTTTTACAATAGAGCCCCTTTCTCTTTCAGGTAGTACAAGTGCATTTCTAAACCCTAAATAAAATCAGCCTTCCCCTTTGGCTCACTTAGCACAATTGTTCTGCAAAGTAGGACTTATACCCATTTTAGGGGTGAAAAATTGCATTACAACGAGGTTAATTAATCTCCCATCTCTCGGGATCTCAGAACTGAGTTTGACACCAAAGACACCCACTCCAGGTGGTCACAAAACTATGAACCCTAAGAGTAAGTACTGGCTCTGTTTCGTTATTTCCCTGGTTTCCAATAAAATATTTGGAGCACAGAGAAACAAAATTTGTCAAATAATGGATGAATAATATGTTACCATCAATTTGTGGAACAAATTGTACGTCTAAAGAATAAGTAGACACGTGTGAAAGGATTATCATTTGAAGAGAAATTTATAAAACCACCCACCAATATTAAATTTTTAAATTACCAAAGAAATGTTTTTTTTTTTTTTTAAAGTCTCCATAAACTCTCAGGAGCAGGAAAAAAACAGGATCAGGTTGAGAAATGATGCATCTTCAAAATGATGAATGATACGCTGAATTATTCACACAGTTCAGGGCTTGCCAGTCAGCCTATAAAATGAATGAAAAATTCACTTAAACTTTAGATAATACCACTACTACACTTTTTGGACAACTGATCAAATCACATATACCTTTGAAAATGAATAATTTTTTTCAAATACGTCACCATATAATAAAATTCTGAATTTGTCAGGATCAGCCAAGTTCTGCTGAGTCTCTAACTTTGTAACAGAACAGAAATTTCCAGGGTGGGCCTGCAGGTGCCCAATGAGTAACTGAAACCAGGATGAAGTTCAGTGAATCTGCTTTTATTACCTTAAACCTTTGAGTCAGATCTTGGCTCCTTTCTGTCTCTGCTTTTTGCTGCAGTGGGTTGAACAGTGTTCCTCTGCCATTCCCTTCCACCATGGTTTGCTTTTCTGCTAGTTTGTTTGTTTGTTTGTTTGTTTGTTGAGACAGGGTCTCACTGTGTAGCCCAGGCTGTCCTTGAACTATGTTTCAGCCTCCTGAGTGTTTGGATTACAGGCATGAACCACCATGTCTGGCTTCTACCGTGTTGATATAGCTGTGTGGCACTATGAGTGTGGATTGTCACAACACAAGGCACCTCACCATGCCATCTCCTTTACTCACCCCTCCCTGACCTCCACTTCCACTATGAGTTACAGCAACCCAAGTCCCTCACCAGAAGTCAAAATGTCAGCACTATGTTCATGAACTTCCCAGCCTCTAAAACCTTGAACTGAAAGAAACCTGTATTCTTTGTAAATCATCAAGTCTTTGCTGCTCTGTTATAGTCAGAGAAATAGACTAAGACATGACCTTATTGAATCCTAGTTA